AGAGTTGGGCGCTCGCTGGGAGTCGAAACGCACAGGCCGCATGCGTTTTAGAGATGAACTCTGCGTTTTTAGCCTAAAAACGCAGAGTTGGGCCTGTTTAAAGGCTGAAAACGCACAGTTGTGCTGTTTTAGAGATTAACTCTGCGTTTCTAGACTGAAAACGCAGAGTTGAGCCTGTTTAAAGGCTGAAAACGCACAGTTGTGCTGTTTTAGAGATTAACTCTGCGTTTCTAGACTGAAAACGCAGAGTTGAGCCTGTTTAAAGGCTGAAAACGCACAGTTGTGCTGTTTTAGAGATTAACTCTGCGTTTCTAGATTGAAAACGCAGAGTTGAGCCTGTTTAAAGGCTGAAAACGCACAGTTGTGCTGTTTTAGCGATTAACTCTGCGTTTTGATGTTGAAAACGCAGAGTTGAGCATGTGCGCTTTGACTCTGTAATGCAGAGGCGAACCTTAGGCGGGCTTGGCGGGCTTCAGGCTAAGTCCAATGTTCTGATGAAGTCCAGTCTTGCAGACGGACCTCAGAACATAATTTGCTGCGAAGAACAGGTCATAACTTTCAAACCGTAAGTCGGAATTAGACGAATTATATATGAAAATCGGCTATCTCGACGAGACGGGGCCATCCGAACCAAGCCGAAGGCTTCGGTTCGCTTCCTCCGTTTGGCCAAATTCCTTACGGTTTGAGAGATATCTGCATTCTAATATGAAGAGACCGTCAATTTGTAGTCTCTTTTGCTAGAGCTTTGCACAGATCGTCCTCTTGTAATCTTTGTCTTGGCTCCTTGAAAATATGAGAGTCGTCAGATTGTAACTCCCGATGTTGATTGTGAAGGCTATTGAATTGGAGTTTTCATCAGTTGTCGTGAAGGTCCTCAAATTGTAGCCTACTGGAAGTCGTCAGATTGTAACTTCCATCATCGGTGTTTGATGGGGGATAAGCTATCTATTGTGATTTTTAGACAGCCTACAGGTACCAGGAAATGGGGCACAAAGGCGGGCAGACCAGGAAAGAGCAGCTGGGAACTGAAGGGTACCAGGAGATGGGCCGCAAAGGTGGGCTGAGCACCATGGAGGAGTCCGGAGGCGAGCGAGCTGCTCGTGAGGGAATCGACATCGACGAGTCCAAGTTCCGCACTTGAACCTAATGCATCTTCCAAAACGCGTGCAAATAGTAGTAGAATGGAGCGTGTGCTAGTACTGTAATAATAATAATGTGTGCATCTTTAGTAGTTTGGTTTTGTTGAGCTTTGTTTGTGTTAGAGTGGAGAATTGTGTTGGTGTTTTGTTTGTTTCTGAGTTGTGGGTTTATTCTGTTGCTATGCTTTCTAGTATCAAGTAACTGGTCTTTGTTGGATTTCTATGTGTACTTTTGTCACTCCAAAATGTATCTGCACCCAGTATTCAGTTGCAATCAGAATGCAAACATGAAGCAGAGGCGAAAACTAATGCGAAAAGCTTTATTGGCAGTTTATTCTCAGATTCCTATAGAATTACAAACACAACTGAAATCTAATAAAAGAAAAATGCTAAGGGGTAAAAAGCCACCTTAATGTGATGTGCATCTTTAACATTGGCTATCGGCTGTCAATTTTAATGGCTCCAGCATTCCTAGTGTAATATATAGCCAAATGCGAACTCTTTTGGAGTGCCGGGGTTCAATGACTAGTTGCCAATGCTGTTACCAAGAGTCCAAGAACAAGGAAAGGTTGGGCGCTGGCCTGCTCAGTTACATGATTTGAGGGATTATCAAAACTTGTTTGTTTGAAATAACAATCGAAGTAAGAATGTGAATAACTTTTGTAAACATACATACCTGATATTTGACGTCATACTTCACTGGATCTTTCAAGAAGTACTTAAACTACAACAAAAAAAAGCATCAATGAAAGAAAATGAGTGCTAGGGCAGTGCAAACATATGCAATTTGTAAAAGAGTAGAACAGTAAGAATATGAATAACTTTTTCAAGAAGACATATACACATATATACATATGTGGTTCGGCTTGTAACCTATGTCCACGGGTGAAGAAAGAGAATAGCTTTACTGAATTGTAAGGTTTTTTAAGCCTATGTCCACGGGTGAAGAAAGAGAATAGCTTTACTAAATTGTAAGGAATATAATATGGAGATCTCTCAATCCCAAATCACCCCAAGAACCACCAAAACAATCTCTCAATCCCAAGTCACCCCTAGAAAACACCAAAACAATCTCTCTAAAAGAGAGAATATACAGAGAACAGCTTTAAAAGAGAACTGTCTATTCTTTGTTTTTCAGATTGAAGCATACTGCAGCGAAGGGCTTCATAGCATTTATATAAAAGCTAAGGCTAAATGGAACAAGTTGTTGCTAGCAACAAAGCTAGCACGTGTTGGATACCCAAACCCAATGGAATTCCTAATATATAATCCTTCTCCTTTCAAAGTTGAATTCAAGTTTCAATAGGAATTATTCAAATTGAATATCCAAGATGATATTATCCAACGACCACTCAAAAACCCCAGTCCACGAAGATACTATGCTGCAATATTTTCTCGGCCAAATTGTGTGTGTGTGTGTGTGAGAGAGAGAGAGAGAGAGACTACAATAGGAGAAAAAAATTCAACAAAATTAATGGCTTACTTGGAAAAAGATTTGGGGGAGGATCAAACCAAGTAGGGCTAAAGCATAATAAGGCTTTCCCGCACCCAAAAGATATCCTGCATTGTGAATACAACCAACATCAGGCTACATACAACACCAAAGTAGAACATGACTGTTGATGAACAGGTATCAACAACGAAGAGACATACTTCATACCAAAAAGGTAATCCGACGCCAGTACAACCAATTCTCTTCTTAATTAAGGGGCTACCGAAATAAAATGGCAACAAAAAAACAAAAAAAAAAAAAAACTTAAGCACAAAAGTAATGTTTATGAGACAGAGAACCAGCAGAGAGAACACAAGAAGGATGCAGTCGTGCTAGTACAAAGATTTTCTGCCTTTGAGATGTATCCATCACCATTCTTAAGAATTTTATGATTACTTGCCACATCTAAAACTATAACACAGCATAACATTCCATTCAGATGCAGTGGGTGCTTAGGTTAAACAAACGAGGGAAATCAACTAATCTTCATGTAACTTCGTCATTGAATGACTTAGATTAAGCAAATCGCATAGGGTAGAGAAAGGAATAGATTAAAGTTAAGAGTAAAGCAAGGTAAAATGAAAATTCTAAGGAAAATTCTATGGAGAGTAAAAGATACTATGGTGGGTAAATTTCTAAAGGAATTAAGAGAGAGCATAAATCCTAAAAGAAAATAAACATGGGCATTGGCCATTGCTACAAGGCCTCGTTTGGTACGCAGGAATAAGTGAGAATGGAAATTCCTTCGTACCAAACACAACATCTTTTTTGAAGTTGGAATGTCTATTCCCACTTCTCATCAATTCTCACTTTATGTGGGAATGAGCATTCCCAATGGAATGATACGGAATGGGCATTCCCACTTAAGTGAGAATCAATAAAATATAAAATTTTAAAATGCGTCCGTTCTCACTTTATTTTATAAATTGTACCCAAATGTGAGAATGGAAATGAGTATTCCATTCTCACATTAATTCCATTCCATTACTTAGTCCATTCCATTCTCACGTACCAAACGAGACGTAAATTCACTTCCAGCATACAATTGCAAAGACCCCACTTAAAAAATAACCAATTTAGTTTAGCTTACAGACATGCCCAAAAATCATTTCTAATAAGAGTAGACAGATCATCAATTAGTCACATGCCATATGACAATTATATAGCATGTTGCTGATTGAGCATCCAAGACCGTTGATGGCATTTTTGAATAAGGTCCTAACTTAGCAAGAAAAGAAACAAGTGAGTTGCTATGATAGCGTAAAATGCATGTTCCATACCTGCAATAGATAACTGTGTAATATCAATTGCACCCACACATATCCATTTGGCTGTTTCAGCCCCAAAAGCAACAGGAAGTGACTGTCAGAGAAAACATAGGAATATCTTAAATATACTACCTACCAAGACAACAAAAATATTGCTGAAGTAAATAAATCATAAGATGTCAAATATGACCTGCAGTCCCAGAGCTCTGTCACCTTCAATACTTTTAAAATCATTTACAATGGCGATACCAAGCTGAAGACAGAAAGAGACCGGTTAAGCGTACACACTAAATTCTACTAATCCCTAAAACATGTTATGATGCTGAAAATTATTACCCCAGCTATGCTGTACAACAGTGTAAGGACAATTATGTCAGGAGTCAGAGTTCCAAATAGAGCTTGACCAGCCCACCTAAAAATTAAAAGGTTTGACACAATTACACAACTTCGAGGATGAAAAGCCAACAAACTCCTAAATGTGGCATAAAGAAGAAATATGCTCCATGAATCAGATATAAAAATTATTCAACGATGAGCTACCTTAGACATTTCCTTTATGGAACAAAAAAAATCGTACCATGGTAAACTGATGTAGCTTGCCCCTAAAGCAAAGTTTCCAATCCATCCATTTTGCTTTAGCTGCAGCAGCAAAAGAATATTTTTTTTAAAAAACAGCATACATTACAGTCAAAGATTAAGGAGAATTATTTAGCCAAACTGCAAACGAAGTATTCCAACTTTAGCTGCAGAGATGTCTTAACCTTCAGTGGTGGGGCAGAATATATATAAGAAAGCAAGGATCCGCCAACAGCTAGATAGAAGACACTAGGGAAATTATGCCCTACCTGAAATAAAGAAAAGTAGTTAGATAATGACATAACAAATTTATACAGGTGCTTTGAGTCAAACTACCAGCATAAGATACTTTCATAACATACCCACACATCTAACAAACCCGCCAAGCCAAGGCCTCCGAGAAGCAGCACCCAGATCTGGGTTATAACCTGAAGAATATGATTGTTTAGAATATCAGTCAGATATTTGATTAGTATGAGGATATATGCGGACATTGAACGGTCAGTTTAAGACTCTGGACATAAAACAAGCAACTGCTTAGTACTCAATAGAATACTTTATTCTGGATAATCACTACAAAATAAAGTTTATTCTCCTTCCATAGATATTATGAACAATCTTATCATAGAGGGAAGACTGAAAAGTAAAAAAGAACACACAAAATAAAATGCTTAAGCACCTTACAATTAACCTTGTTTACTAACTACCATTTTCTTACCTCGCTCTCGGATATAGCCCCCGAAGGAATAGGACGATAAGGCTCATTAATTGCGTCAATTTCACGGTCATACCAATCATTAAGTGTCTGCAAGAATTGTTCGAACCAGATTGAGTGGTAGAAAAGTTTCATCACAAGTCATTATTAGTTCTCTATAAATCGTAGTTTACGCAAAACCATCCACTTCATGAGCTGACCTGAGTGTAGCCTGTAAGACATGGTCCAGACATTATCATGCAAACAATGGATTTAGCTACATCTTCAAGATTCCAGTGGAAATTTCCTGAAAGAGGAAGATACCAGTTTGAAGAAATTAAAGAAGTATCATAGTTCTGTGTTCTACAGTAGCTATAGCTTTCAATAATGCAATAAAAACCAAGAAACTCAAATGCACAAGTTCCTCAAATAATTCTGTGTTCAATGAGCGATATGTGATATTTTTAGTTTTAGAAAGCTTTACCTTCTTCCAACATAACCAAATACCAATCAAAGCTAGAAATTCTTATACAATAAAAGCCTATCTAATATTGAGATATCCTAATGAATTTCATGACATAAGATACTTAAGAAAAACTTGTACATTCTGATTTCAATTGTTATTTGGAAGGCTTTTTTTTACCAATTTTTATCATTTAGTTTTCACTTTATAAATGAAAATGGGGCATATTTAACATTTATTGTGAAGGAAAAGGCAACATGATTACAGTTTACTTGAAAGAAATTCATAACATAGGATGTGAGACTCTTGATCTTTATAGGTTAGATATCTTAACTTCAAGCCAAGTTTATTATTACAATTCGTGATTGTTTGAATCTTTCACTGAATACCAGACACAAATTACACATAGCTAGAAGATATTGATTACCAGAAGCAGCAGCTCCGCAGACGACTCCCCATACCAATGGAGGCCAAGTCACAGGTTTGGTAAGTTGAAGGCGAATTTTCCATTTATCCTGTATGCGATGATCTAAGAATTGTTAACCATTAATATTACACTACTAACATAACCATCTTGTGCATCAAAGAATTTAAGCCATGATACAAGCAATCGAATTTGACATGATGCAGTAAGTTCTACAGTTGGACATAGGGGTGCTAAACCGTATCCGTATCCGATGAAATATCCGTAACCGTATCCGTTAGGATACAAATATAGTTACTCAAATCTATAACCGATAGGATATGGTTATGGATATGGTTTTGTAGTGAAATATCCGTATCCGTATCCGAAATATCCGAATACATATTAGTCATACTCTTATGATAGTTTTGATTCTTAGATTATGGATTTGTGGTTAATTTTGATGATCAAGGCGTCTAATCTTAACTTTTTAGTTATAATG